CATACCTGCTCTTTCTTCCCACTCAGTTCTAGGATAAGAATTGTCTTTAGGGAGTGAACTGCAGCCTTAGTGCTCTTGGTGGGGGGTGAATAAGACTGAGACAAGAATGTAGGGCCTGGCCGGTTTGGCACAGTGGATAGAGCATAGGCCTGCGGACCCAAGGGTCCTGGGTTCAATTCCAGTCAAGGGCACGTACCCCGGACTGCAGGGCCCCAGGTTTGATTCCGGTCAAGGGCACATGCCCAGGCTGCTGCGGGCTCAATCCCCAGTAGGGAGCGTGCAGGAGGCAGCCGGTCAATGATTCTCTCTCATCATTGATGTTTCTATCTCTCTCTCTCTCCCTTCCCCTTCCTCTCTGAAATCAACAAAAATATATTTGTAAAAAAAGAATGTAGAGATGGAAGGGGAGGGGAGAAGCATACAGGCAGGAGTGGGAAGAGAAAATGAGGGATGGACAAAAACACAGGAGAAAAGGAGAGAAGAGGGGAGATTAAAAAAAGAGGGTGGTGAGAAGAAGGCAGGGAGAGGGGGGGGAAGGAAGAGAGAGAATAAGGGTGTTGGAAGCCCAGAAAAGGGAAAAGGAGGAGAAGGAAGAAGAGGAGAGGGAACTGCAGCAGGAAGGAGTAGGGGGAAGGCGTCTGTCTCTATCCTTGAGAGAGTATATTGTGAGCTACCGGGGCCCACGTGGACCACAAGCCCGGCTCCTGCAAGACTACATCAGGCTTGGCTTTGAGGCTCTAGATTTCACCATCTGATCCACATGCCTGGTGAAAAGGACACACACACACACGCACGCACACACACACACACAGAGACACACATGTACACGCACACGCACACACAGAGACACACATGTACACGCACAGACACACACGCACACAGAGACACACGCACATGCACGCGCACACACAGACACACATGTACACGCACAGACACACACACGCACACACAGACACACACACATGCGCGCGTGCACACGTACACGCACGCACACACAGACACACACACACACACACACACACTGCCACTCAGGCCAGCAGGTGGGGGAACGACGCAGGCCTCGTCCTGACCCGTTTTACCCGCCCCAGCACCTGGTAACCATCTCCTTGCCTTCCAAGGCCACAGCAATCACCCATTTAATAATGAACATAGGTGGAGCCCCCATCTACTGCTGGTAGGAATAGGAAATGGTTCGGCCACTCTGGGAAAGCGTTTGGCAGTGCCTCACAAAATTAAACATAGAATTACCATATGACCCAACAGCCATGATGTCCTTCAGTGGGTGATGGATAAATGGTCTGTGACACAGCTTTACAACCGAATGTTGTTCATCCATATGAAGAAATGAAGTACTGCCGGTGGGTGTGGCTCTGTGGTTGAGCTTCGACCTATGAACCAAGAGGTCACGGTTCAATTCCGGTCAGGGCACACACCTGGGTTGCGGACTCAATCCCCAGTTGGGGGCGTGCAGGGGGCAGTCGATCAATGATCCTCTCCCTCACTCTTCCTCTCTGAAATCAATAAAAATATGTTTTCATGAAGAAATGAAGTACTGCCGGTAGGTGTGGCTCCGTGGTTGAGCTTCGACCTATGAACCAAGAGGTCACGGTTCAATTCCGGTCAGGGCACACACCTGGGTTGCGGACTCAATCCCCAGTTGGGGGCGTACAGGGGGCAGTCGATCAATGATCCTCTCCCTCACTCTTCCTCTCTGAAATCAATAAAAATATGTTTTTTTAAAAAAGAAGAAATGAAGTACTAATACATGTTTAACACGGATGAACCTCAAAAACATGTTGTAAGTGAAAGAAGCCAGACAGACACCAAGGGTCACATATTGTGTGATTCCATTTCTGTGAAATGTTCTGAATAGGCAAACCCGTGAAGAATTGTCGAGGGGGAGGGGAAGTGGGGAGCAGCTACTTCGTGCACAAGAGTTTCCTTCTGGGGTGCTGAGCCTGTTTTGGAACCGGATAGATTTGGTGGCTGCACAGCACGGTGAACGCCCTAAATGCCACCGAGTTGTTCACTTTAATTCTATGTTATGTAAATTTCACCTCCATTTTTTAAAGTAATAATGAAAATAGGCATTTTCCAGGGAATTCATCAAGCCAACTGCAGTTTCAGAGTCTACTGCCTTTGGAAACAGGAGCTCATGCCCGCACGAGACATGGTCTTCCCGGATGCCCAGGGCACCAGGCCTCTGCCCTGAAGACTGGAAGATGCTCACAGAACCCCAGGATGCAGTGTTCCAGACCCGCCCTGCAGCTCTGCAGCCGCCTCCTCTGCCTGGCTCCCGCCCCAAGGGAGGCTCCCTTCAGGTTCCTGCTTCCCTAGCAGAGCAGGTGGCAGATGTGTGAGCTGGTGCTGAGGCGCTCAGCTCCCCAACTTCGCTGACATCCTGTAGTCGGCCCCAGGGGCAGCCCCCCTCTCCGATCTCGCTCCAGTTTTCAGAAGCCCTCTGGCTTTCCTTCCCACAGAATTATTCTTATCACCTGCTAAATGGACTCCCTGCTCTCTGGACTCTCTTACGCCCCACCACCCCCTCTCCGTGTGCGAGGCCCTGGGCTGGCTCCCAGGGTGAAGCAGACACATTTGCTTCTCCCACTGCACTGCCCCACTAGGTCCTCCGCTCAAAGACCTTTTTCTTTTTAAAATATATTTTATTGATTTTTTACAGAGAGGAAGGGAGAGGGAGAGATAGATGGAAACATCAATGATGAGAGAGAATCATTGATCAGCTGCCTTTTGCACACCCCCCTACTGGGGATCGAGCCTACATCCCAGGCATGTCCCCTTGGCCAGAATCAAACCTGGAACCCTTCAGTACACTGCACTAAAGCCCCACTAGATCCTCCACTCAAAGACCTTTATAAATATATATATATATAATCTTTATTGATTTCAGAGAGGAAGGGAGAGGGAGAGATAGATGGAAACATCAAGGAGGAGAGGGGACCATTGATTGGCTGCCTCTTGCACAACCCCTACTGGGGACTGAGCCCACAACCTGAACATGTGCCCTGACCTGGAATCAAACAATGACCTCCTGGTTCACAGTTCGATGCTAAACCACTGAGCCACACCAGCTGGGCTCAAAGACCTTTAATGACCACTCCTTACAACAGGGAATGTGGACCCTGAACCCTTTGTGTCCTGATAAAAATTTTGCACCCTCTCCCTAGACAAATGAATACACATGCCAGTCCACAAGGAATTGTGGGTCCCCTGACCGCCACAGCCTATCCAAGGACCACTAAGGCGGGGCTGCTCAAAGTCAGTTTCCCCACCACTGCCTCTGCCCCCGGCCGCCCAGGTCCAGCTGAGTGTGAACGGCCTGCTAGTGCAGGCGGGATGCCAAGCACCGGGCTCCAAGGAAGGACTGTGGGTGACTCCCTGCCCAGAGATCATTAAGCCGGGATTAAGGGTGGAGCGCCTGCCCGGCCTGCTGGGAGCAGAGGGCTGGAGCAGGTGACCATGCAGCCCAGTGAGTGCACACCCTCGCCCAGGTGAAAAGGCAGAAAACTGGATTAATAAGGCAGGGCCCACAGCTTTACTGTCTTCAGAGTAATCCCCTAAATCAAGCCTTCGAGGAGGGCAAGCACGGACTAGAAACAGCCCATTTTGCTGATGAGAAAACTGAGGCCCAGAGAAGTTAAGAAACTTGGCCAAGGCTTCACAGCCGAACCAAGACTAGAACCCAAGCCTGCCGCCCCCAAGTCCAAGGCCCTGCCTCCTTGGGACGACTGGAACGTCCCAAGATAGGATGGAGGCCTCTGTCCTGTCCTCGGTTCCTCCACCAACTTCCCCAGGCCCTCTGCATGCCACTCCTCTCCACCAACACCCCAACCGCAGCTCCAGCACAGGGGGGAGTCCTGCTGGGAGAGGCTGCAAGTCCCTCCCCTGTCTGACAACTGAGCTGCAGGAAGAAGAAGGAGGTGGGAACAGGTCCCAAACTCCCATCTCACTTGTCCTCACCCGTCTCCGTCTCAGACTCTCTCGTGATAGGAAAGTAGGCCAGTTTGGAATATGTCACGGATATTTTCGACATCCCCATCTGTACTAGAGCTTCGCACACAGCCAAGTGGGGTGGGGCTGGAGCCTTCCTGCCGGATGAGGGGCACACCTGCTACCTCTGGGGCTCAGAGCCCAGATGGGGGCTGGAGACACACACAGGAGACCCTAAAGAGCACTGGGCAAGCGCCCAGCAGCCTGGGCAAGGTGGGCCCGAGATCAGCAGTGTCTGCCCTCTTACAGAGGAGCAGGAGCAGACAGCTATGACCTGTGGATCGCTCCCCACCCCCAACCCCCAACCTGGGGATGGAAGGAAGGAGCAATTCGTCCTGTGGGGAAAGGGGTCTGGAAAAGCTTTGATGGAAGAGGTGACTGACGTGTGAGTTGGGCTTGAGTGGGAAGGAAGCAGGACTTTGCCAGGTGAAGAAGATGGGGAGGGCGCTCCCGGCCAAGGGATGTGCTTGGGGCACGCTGCAACCCGAGTGCCCGGCTGGGGAGAGGGCTGACCAGGGAAGGGCAGCGAGAGAGACGGAAGGGGCAGGCTAGCTTTGGCGAAGGAGCTGTTCGTGGTGAATGCCCAGCTGTGAAGCTTGGGGTGCAGGTGCCTATGGAGGCTAAGGGCCATGATTCGGA